CCACCGCTGTGATGCAGAGCCCATCTGCGTCTCTCAGGTGCCATCAGCACCTTGGACAGTGAGAGGAAACCAGCAACCTCCTTCAAAGTTCTGCTCAAGAATCCACTTTTCCCATTAATTTTTTAATTCCCAACTTTGGCCCTACGCCATACACTTCTCCTTCCTTGTCCTTTGGCTGTTTGTTTCACAAGATCTAATCCAAGAGGCTCTCTGAAGTAGGTCATTCTACATTAGCTGAGTTTTTCTGTTCCCAGCTGCACACTGGGAACATCACACACATCTTTCTCTTAGTTCTGTAGCAAAATTCAAAACTGCATTGGCTTAAAACCACAACAAAGTGTGGGCTGGATTTCCATTTTTATGTTATTTACTATATTCTACCTCGCAGGCTTACACACACTAATCCTCCTGGATGCATTCAGCACAGGACTGATCCCTGGCCTCCAGCTTTGAAGCAATTTACTGCTTCTGCACACGCAGCAATGTTTTAGACAGAAATTACAGGTGGCATTGGCAGAGTGTTATGCTGTAGAAGGCTCTGATCTGTTCACCTTACGACCTTAGAAAAAGTTCCCAAAGCTTTGAATAAATCAGTGGTATTTCATACACCTTGTCATTACCTTTTGATTCAGGGTTTCCTGAGACAGTCAAATTTGAAGAGCAGTTGTGTGACAGTAGGGGAATTAGAGCAACATGGAATAGATTTGGCAACTAAGCTTGACAAATCCAGCTTAGAGACAGAACAAAAGAACTTCCCAAACCACAGGGTGGAGGTAGAACAATTCTTTTAGTCAAATAATGCATTCAGAAGAAATGCACAAGAGTCCTATAATACATATGCCCCTTTTTGTTCTAGATAATGCAAATTAGTTAGAAGATCATCACAAAGACCCACAGTCTTAAAACCTTGGTAATAAAATCTACAGCACTTAATACACTTAAAATCCACAAGAGGGCAGGCACTCAGGTAAACTGATGAGTGTAAAGAAGACACACATAGGCAGTGGATGAAAAGAAGCCCAAGACATGAAATATGTGTGGTTTGGTTTGGTCCTGCTGGTTTGTTTCTTTTAGAAGAATTTGACCAGAGCAGGTTTTCATCCTTTCCAATATAAAGGTGGAGCTGATTTGTCTTGTTCAGTCATTATGAAAGGCTTAATTAATAATACAAGACATGTCTTTCTTACTGTGTTCACATTCTGATCTGTGCACGTGCATGCATAAGTATGTCAACTTCTAAATTTAAATATATTGCTTGTGCTTGCTGTAAATGGTGAACTCCACAACCACATACTTGTATTTACTATAGTAATTTCTTCTACCATGAGTATAAATCAACTTCCCAAAGCAAAAATTAAGGAAGTACAAGACTGAGAACAAGAAAACATTTTACGTTTTCTCAGAAGTTATACTGCCAAAATCTACAGCAGCTGTGGATTCACCCAAGGTAAGGCTGAAATGAAACACAGACCCAAGGATTCATCTCTGACCTATTTTGCTTGGTTTCTAGAAAATATTGTTCTTTATGCCTGGGCCTTCTCAAATTATGGCATGAGGAACACCGAGTGGAAAAAGAGATGGCAAAAGCAGTTTATCCAGCCAGGATGTGCTTTCAGAAAAAGCAAAGCCATATGCCACAGCCATTTTGAGGGCACAGCAAATATGTAGCCCCAGATTCTATAAGAGTAGGAGCCTTCATAAGTTGTTTTTATCTTTCTGCAAATACCTTTTGAAGCAAAACATTTAAGTATTTATCCTTTATTGACAGAGAGATGAACTTTGGCTAAAATGGACAACATCCTTGTGGACATGACAGTCGCCCATATCCTGAGCAGAATCTGCCAGACTCTAATTTAGGAAGCAGCACAGTTAATCACAGGAAAATTGTAATTACAGGACTGGCTACTGACTGGGCTTTTATATTCACAGGGGAAGTCACCAGCAATTATGAACAAGTCTGCTGGGAAACACACACATGTTAAGCTTTTTAGGTTTAATAAATGTATTCGCCTGACTAATAGCTTGACACAATGATCAGTACTATGCTCAGGAGTAACAATTTACAATCACCAATAAGGGCTCCACAATCTGACTATTAATTTTCTATTTCTGGAAAAATCTTGCCTTGGAACATTTAACTGGAAACTGGTTGTATTTCTGCTTACTGAGGGCATTTTAATATTGCTGAATGGTACGTGATTGAATGGCTAACTACCATCTTCTCTTGTCAGTCTTTTAAAAGGAATCCAATCATGAGCTAATCCTAAAAGATAAAGATATACTACTATACATAATAAAGTTCTTATGCTAATATGACTCAGAAAATAGAACCTTTTTCATCATCCACAGTGAACTGGTAGTTACTGGACTGAAATCAAAGTAGGATGACAGTAGTTTATGACAGTTTTTGACTGAGAACAACTAACTCTTAACCAAGAGGTAGCCCCTTTGCCACTTCTCCAGTGATTGACAGAGTGATGTTCAGTTTTGTGCTGGCACAGAAGGCCTAATTTCTACAGACTGATTTTTAGAACCAGGAGAACAAAAAGAAAAAAAAAAAGAAATCAAAATAATTGACTTCATAGTTTTTTTCTACACCAATGGTCATGTGAATGCTAAGCCACATTCAAAGCTTATTTCTCTTACTATGACTGCTAAGCTGACAAAAAGTATCAAAGCAAGGAGAAGAATCACTGCTTCCAGCCATTCTTGCTGCACTGTAAAGGACTGGGCAGGAGAACTTACAGCAACTTTGGTTTGCAGGTCTCAGTCATAGCTCCAACAGAGGAGTCACTGGTCTCATTGTCTTGTATATTAAGAGCTAAGCCTAGTCCTGTCATCCCACAAAGTATTTTGGATATGGTTGAGGAGTTAGTTTAGAAAGGGATAACCTCACCTGCCTGTTTTACCAACAAGCACCCTCACTGCAGAGGAAACTTTCCATCGCACTCATATGAGAAAGACTTTCAGCCCAAGTCACTCAAAACCGCAGGACTTGCTCTCAGACACACAGAGTGAGCAGAGAAAACAAAAAAGTAGAAAGAGATTTCACAGAAGGTGTCCTTACATGGCTCAAGGCTGCTCTAATCACAAGGAAGGATATGAAAGCTCAGGCCTTGGCACCCTCTGCCCAGAATAACTGAGTAATACAACAACCTTTTCTTTCTGTAAAAGCAAAACAGCAGAAAATGTCCTCTGCATAAGCTGTCATCTGGCAAGATTTAGTTAGAAACTAAATTCTGGGCTTAATACCAGAAGGAAAGGCAGCAAGTGGCCCTAGTTAGAAACAGCAAGTTCCAATAAGCAAACACAAAACAGTGTGCATCTTGTCTTTTTGTTAAGATTAGTGTATCTTAATTTAATAATTCATCCTCCTCTTGCATCTTCTAGATTGAATCTGATTAAAAAGCTATTTTCAGCCTTAGTTTTATTATTCAAAGTTTTTAGTAATTTTAATAGTTCTAAGTGAAAAAGGAAGAAAACAAATTGAGATCTGTAATGACAAATTTTTTCTTCCATGCCCAAAGGGCTTTTATTATTTCATCTCAGCAGATTCAATCTCCAGTGTACCTCCTATGAAACTGAAAAAATTGCTTACAGATATAGAAGACACTAAAGAGACCGATCTTTCTTATTTTATCACAGTAGAAATGACCTATGTTAAAAAAGTCAGACTACACCAGACAAAAGGGCTTGAATGTTTTAAAATATTTAGAACAAGATATAATTTCATGAAACAACTTTGGTGCTTCTTGTCTCTCGCAAAGTGGATTATGATCTACCTTGAATTTGGCAGGTAAAGGTTGTTAAAGAATATTTTAAAGTCTCAGGCATGACAGAGAAAATGATCCCAGTATTAGTACCAAAGAGTTAACCTGGCTGATGCTGCAGTGGAGGGCTCTGATCCAGCAGCAACCTCACCTGTTGTAGCACTTCCTCCTAGTTTTGTTTGAACAGCTGTTAAACTGGAAATGAACCTGTGGATTTAAGGGCTTACAGTCTTTTCCTTGTAGAAGGATAACCAAAAAAACTCCAAAACCACAAAATCCCCAAACAACTTTTATTAATGGTTCCTTTTTGCTGAACGTCCTTCTCAAAGAAAAAACAGAATCGAAAACAACCTCTCTTCGATTCCTGTTCAGCAAAGAACACGTGCTCCGCGTGCAACAAATGGAATACGAAAACTGCGAACCAGTTACTCCCAGTTTACTACTTGCTAGATGTACCTGATGCTGTACAAACATGCCAAGAGACACTTCCTTTACTTCAGGGATTTTAGAGCTGAAGGTTATGAACACACGATCAGTGATATTTGAAGTACAGCTGTTTAACTGCATTGCTCAACAGTTGAAACTCCACAGCTGATCATGTGTTTGTTTGAGATCAAGGTGCTTATGGGAAATTTATCTTACGTAGAACCAACGTAACTTATTAATAAAAGGTCATGGTTTTGTCTCACTGTTGTTCTTAAGTTTGTTTTTAACAAAAGAAATACCAAATTAAAACTGGAACATTTTCTGGTTGTATTTGTACAGAAGGGAGTCCCTGCTTACCAAGACATCCTGTTAGGAAAACCTAAATAATGGAATTAAATTCCAGTCTTTAGTTAAACTCTGCTAATTTCCAGGACCAGGTACAGAATTGGGCTTCAGAGCTCTACAGAAGTGTGGTGTCACCTTTCCATTCTAGACTGCCTTTTATGTATCTGACCTATATAACAGTTGATGCATGTGCACACGGTCCTGCTGGTGAAAGGCTTGTGAGACCACACCCTTTAAAAAACCTAGGGGGCAACTCTTACCACTTTTCTCTTTCCTAAATTGAATAATAATTCCAATTTCAAGGAGGGCATGAAAACACTCCTGCATATATTTCTACCACCAAGCCAGACACTAAATGGCTTTGTAGTCGTTTCTCCACCTCACTATCTAGCTTGTTCTGAGGTGCTCAGGCCCAGGGCACGCGCAGTGATGGAGATCCATGGATATTGTCCTTCCTACCTCAGCTGGAGCCCATGGAGACAACTGCACCATCAAGGGACATGGATGGGTGTTTCCCCCTCGCTTCCTTGTCACTGGAGGGTGGTGACAGCTCATGTACCATGAACAGCCTCTGATCCTACTCCTGGTGTAACATGAGAGGGAGCTGATGTCAGCAAAGCCACAGGCATGGACCTGAGCACAACAAAGAGGGCTCAGGGACAGGGAGCAGCAAACACTTTGCAAACACTGAGCTTGCCAGTTCACTCTGCCTTTGCTCACAGCATACTACAGGTTCAGCAACAGATTACAAAGGAAAGGGGACAGGAGATAAAAGAGACTCATAAAATAGACAATAACTAAATTAAATAAAATTAAGACTGGCAGTCCCAGATTGAAACATTCCATGAATAATTTTCCAGGTCAAGGAAACTGTTTATCAGTGAGAACTTTTCAGCTGTTGCTGCACATCCTTCAATTACTCCATCTTCTTGATGTGCCACAGATCACACAAGAGACAAAAGTCAGCTGTCAGAATTCAAGTGTGTTCAAGAACACAGCTTTACAGCTGTAAGTGTTGCTATATTCTGAGCTCACAATTGCCTAAAAAACCAAATAAGCAAATTTCAGCTCTCACTGGGAAGAGAATCCCAACACTTCAGTGCCATGAGCATGTGATTGAACTGAAAACATTTTCCTGTACCCTGTTCACACACTGACAGCAGCACACTGAGCTCCTCCACTCAAAGTGATACTTTGGAGGTACTGTTATGCTCTATCTTTTAAACTAAAATATTAAAATATAATCAGAGATCTTTGAAGAATAACAGCACTGGTACTTACACATAAGCAGAGCAGTAAAGGGTGCAGTTTAAAACAACATAAAATGCCTGGCACACGTTAACTTACACCATTTCCTCCTTTATCTGATTTCTAATTAGGACTGGATAGTTTAAAATAAAGGATGCATCAAGTCCTTCAGAGTCATACAGACAAATCAGAATGGTAATGTTAGCAAATGAAAGGATATTTATCACATTAATAAATTGTATCACCTTTTGGCCACACATCTGATCAGAATGAAAAGCAAAAGGGACTAGTGAGACTGCCGCTGTTCCCAACACCAGAGATCGAGTTCTCCCCAAGAGGGGCCAACTGTAATGGAAAAATAAAGAACAACAGGAATGTTATGATCTGCAGAAAATTATACAAAGTATGGAAAAGAATCACAGCCTTCTAAAATGGCAGTGACTACACTTTACCTCAGGAACACCTCTCTCTCTAGCTTTTCATGTTATTAAGTAAGGTACAACTTACTATGGAAAAGTCGGTATTTTAATAAGTGATGATTAACAACCCAACCTACAACACTAAAAAAATTAACAATTACCTTTAAACCAACAGGTTTCAGTTTATCATTTCTCAAAATCAGGTGAAGGGAACATCCTCTATTTTTCCCAAAAGCAATACCAAGTGGGAGGCTGCCAGTGGAAATTTTCACTCAAAGAAGAAGGGTTTGATGGTTTGTATTTTTTCTTTGTTTCTTTGGTTTGTGCTTTTTTTTTTTTAAAAAAGAAGGCTATGATCAAATAGAAACATATTGCATAATGGTAAGTCTGCATTGCATGTAAAATCAATTACACAGCCCATGAATTCAGTAATCTGAAACATATTACCTCTGACTGCGAGAAACTCCAGGCCCTCGTGGAAAGAACAGGGTAGTTCTTGCCATGGCAACACCTGCAGGTGCTGAGCCAGGTGCTGGCTCTGCAGGAGCTGCTTTAGCCCAAAGGGAAAGTTCCTGGAGGACACCATGGAAGAGACACTCACCTGGAGCGGGGCTGCAGCCTCCTGCACCTACTCCTGGTGTCCCACGGAGCTGTCACTCCCACACGGATCCTGTCTGTCCTTTCTTCTACTGAAGCCATTAACAGGATCAAAGCTTCAATTATTTAACTGCTGCTGTTGATTACACACAGCATGATTAATCTTAATATATATATACAGTCACTTATCCAGAAATAATTAAAACAAAGGTACATTCTCCTCTTTAGTTGTTGACTTTCAGCAATTAGTTATTTTCTCAAAAGCAGTTATTAACCCTAAACATGTAATAACTTTGAAGCAAAAATCTCTGGCAAAACCCCCACGCAAAATATTTAAATATATTACATGATCCTTTTTCTTTCCAAAAAAAAAAAAGTCTTGTTTTTTAACAGCATTATCCCTCAAAAACTGCTTAGGAAACCTTGCCTTCTGAATTCTTTTCTTTTTTTAGTGTTTTTTTTTTTCCCTTCTGATGCCCTCCATGCCTTAGTTTGTATCAACTAAATGGAAGAAGGAAAAATACACAGACAGAAAAATATAAAGAACTGTAATCTTGTTTTTTCCAGGACTGAAATCTTGATTTCATTGATGCCAAAAAGACAAACAACAACAAAAAAAAAAAGTCACCCAGATGTGTCAAAAAAGTCACCAACCTAATTCTGCTGGCAGATAATTACAAAAATAAAGCTAAAACACCACCTCACATCTCAATATCTGGTACTGGTTGCTTTTGCTACCTCAACACTTAAATTAATTTTTATAATAACTGTAGCAATAAATTAAAGTCTTCTGGACTCAGAATTTATCAGAACAGTGTATTTCTAACAAAATCTCCACAAACAAGGAGAGGAAGTATTCTCTACTCCACTTCATAAGGCTTGTATTTGTCTTTCACACATACAATACACTGGATTTATAGGAACAAATTATTTGTATGGAACTGGCAAAGTCTCCAGGTTTCATGTACCTCTCAGGAAGCAAAAAGTCCCATGAAGACTTAGCTTGCTTCTACACGTAGGTGGTTCTCAAAACAAGAGAATTACTTACAATCCCACTTTCCCCCCAAAATCTGCAGTAATCCTATACAATTTTAAAACAATTAAGCATATGCATTTCAACAGGCAAACTAAATGCAATAAAATATTCAACTGTTACTGTATAACACTTTTTTTGCTCTTCTGAGTAGCAATTGTCCCATGTGATAAAAGGATTCGAGTAGAATCTACCCTGAGATAAAGAACTACGCTGTTCATTTCACATAAACGCCCCTGCTGCAGTTCAGAAAGAAGCTGAATTCTTTTCCCACGAAATCTAGAAGCAAAATGTCCCACTGCAAGTACATTTTACAAAACACTGACAGGTCCAAAATGAGCATGAACAGTTTGCTAATGCCAGAGCCTTAATATTAACTGCTGATAACTCAGGAATTTCACTGTAACCCTCTGAAGTTACAGTTTTACTGTCCTTGTAGATAAAGATTTCTTGGTTATCAGGCTGGTATGAGAGGGCCTGTGGGAACTCTTCTGAAGAGTTTTCTGCAGTAAACAACTCACTGATAACAAGAATTTGATTTTTACTTAGTAGTAAAGCATTATTTTCCCCAGTGCTCATGAAGATAAATAAGGGGGGAAGAAAAAGGTGGCTACGTGGGATGAAGAAATCCAGGGCATCTGATTCAGCAGGAAGAACCAGCTGTTCACCAGGAAATCAAGCACATGTTAACTCAGCAACTGTAGCAGCTCAAGCCACTCTGGTAAGAGGCCTTTCCACTTGCCTTGCCAGCCACAATGAGGAGTATGAATACAGCACTCAAACTGAATTGCTCAAAGCTTTCACTTTAGTTCTTGTTTCATGTAACCAGAAGAAATAAATCCTCCTCTATCTCACACTTTATGTTGACAGAATTCCACAGCTTCTGTACTCGTACATTTTGGCACCTTGAGAGCCAATTCAAGTTAATGACTTTCATACAGCAATGAGAAAGCTGTAAATAAAATGAGACAAAATCACGTTACAACAAAATGCAGAACTATGACATGGATAAAACAAGCCTGGATGTAATCGGCAATCAACTGGAATGACACATTCGGTGTGGTTTCACATTAAATAATTTTAATGGAGCCTTGTAGCTTAGATACAGAAATACAGTTGTAGACAGCCAAGGGTTCAGTTGCAAGTGTCCAGGATTTCCAGGTAATGCTATTAATATCTACGTTTCTAGGGATGTAATTAACAAAGACAAGTTTGCTTAAAGCTTTTTTTTTGCCTTTTTTCTTTTTTCAAATGAAGATAAAAATTTTTCCCCGAGTTCTTTTATCTTCAACTTTTTCTTTACAAGTTATGTTATAAATCAGGTGAACGTCTTTCTTTTTCTACCAGCGTATTTTTTAAAAAGTGGTGGTGGGGGGAAAAATCACATTCCAGTTGTTTCTCCTGACTATTCCTCCAAGCCAGGTGAAAAGCCTGGAGTCTGCAAATGTCCAAATGCAGCGCTTTGGATCCGTTCCTCTCCCCGAGGCCGGTTAATCAGCTGTCGGTCTCCCCATGGACGTTTTCCATGTGCACTTTGAGGTAGTCATTCCTTGTGAACTTCTTGTGGCACAGCTGGCACTCTGCCATGGGCCGGTTGGGGTTGTGGGTCAGCTTGTGGCGGATCAGCATCTTCTTCAGGCTGAAGGACAGATCACAGACCTGGGGCAGAGAAGGCAAGGCAAAGCCAAACGAAGCGTTAGAACTTGGAGCACATAAAACGCACCTCACGTGACATCACTGAAGGCACAGCCACACGTACCTGCAGTGCTTAGTAAATGAGCTGGTCTTTGGAAGGACAACTCCTTCAGAGAGCACCTTAAAGATTATTATTCTTGTTTGCTGGGTTGTTTTTTTTTTAAACCTATTTTTCTATCTGGGATGGAGAAAAATTACTACAAAACATCACAGGCCTCTGCTAGTTGGACTTCAAATGAAATATTTCCTTCCTGACCTCCAGAAGGACATTTGAGCTCGCTCAGTTACAAGGAGTGAGGAGTGAGAATAAAGAGGCTCTGAAGACTGCAAAAAAGGTTAATAATTATTATGAAGGAAACCTCACTGTTCCAGTGTCTCTCTGCCTGGCCAAGAAAATGGAAGACATGTAGCAAATGAAGGTGAATCTCTTTTGTTTGTTATCTGGTGTGCTGCTTCTCTTCCTCCACTGTACTCCAAGCTGTCCAGTTCATTCTCCATTTGAATAAATGGATAGAGGGAAGAGGGACTCTGCCATGC